GGGCAACATATTTGCCTTGTAGGAGTGAGATCCTAGACTCAATTCCCCCCCCCAAAAAACAAAACCCAGTGCTGAGACACCTAGATATCTTTATTTTCTTATTATTGAATCAACATGAGATACAGTTACAAAGATTTCATGTTTGAGTTTCAATCATACAATGATCAAACACCCATTCCTCCACCAGTGCACATTCTCTACCACCAATGTCCTCAGTATACCTTCCCCCCATTCCAACCCTCACCCTGTTCTATGGCAGACAATTTCCTCTATACTCTCTCTCTACTTTGGGGCATTATGTTTGGAATATAGATACTGAGAGGCTATCACATTTGGTTCTTTATCTGCTTTCAGCACACATCTCTCATCCCAAATGATCCCTCCAATTATCATTGACTTAGTGATTCCTTCTCTATTCCAGCTGCCTTCTTCCCCAGCTCATGAGGCAGGCTTCCAACTAAGAAGCAATATTCCTGGCCCTTGTGTCTACTGTCCTTGGGTGTCAGTCTCATGTTATTTTATTTTCCACAAATGAGTGCACACCTTCTATGTCTGTCTTTCTCTTTCTGACTCATTTCACTTAGCATGATATTCTCCATGACCATCCACTTATAAGCAAATTTCATGACTTCATCTCTCCTAACAGCTGCATAGTATTCCATTGTGTAGATGTACCAAAGCTTCTTTAACCAGTCATCTGTTCTCAGATACTCAGGGTTATTTCCAGATTCTGGCTTTTGTGAACAATGCAAGACCTCCAGATATCTTGTATGATAAATTAACTTAGATTTTTACAATATTCCAAGAATAAAAAAGAACTCAAATTGAACTATAGATAAATGTAAAACCTCTAGAAGAGAATAAAAGGATGAGATTGTCATACTTTTGGATTATGTATGAACTTGTCAAATTCAACCTATAAAGTACAAATGACTGAAAAAAAGGACCTCAATGGGTTGAAGTTTATCAAAGTTTTAAAGTTGTGCTTCACGGCCAAGGATGTGGCAAAGTGGTAGAGCACATGCATCACATCCAGGAGACCCTCAATTTAATCCCCAGCACCATCAAACAAAACAAAATAAAACATGCTTCAAAAGCATATCCAGCAGTCACGCCCATAAGCTGCCTCTCACTGGCGCCAGATAATTCTGTCATAGGTCACAGTCAAGATCGCTTGTCCTTCTCTCCTGGAAGGGAGCACAACATGATGCTCACCATAATCATGCCGCTGGCCCCTGCGCCAGGCTGTTCCACTCCGGATGTCCTGAAGGGGGGCGGGTGAGGTCCCTCTCCAACTCAAGGGACTCAGTCCTGGCAGCCAAAAACCTCCACAACTCAACTGCCGCCCTCCTCATAGCAGCTCTCCACACCAATGAACCTTTTCCTGGACTTTCTCCTGGCTCTGTAATAGAAAAAAAAAAAAGAAAATTCCATATGTAGTAGCACAGATATGTCTATCGAAGATCATAGTAGCGTTGTTCCTCACAGCCAAAGCAGAAAAATCCCAAATGTTCATTAACTGATATATGTAGAACAAAGGACTGGAGCGATAGCACAGCGGTAGGGCATTTGCCTTGCACGCAGCCAATATGGCCGACCCGAGTTCGATTCCTCCACCCCTCTCGGAGAGCCCGGCAAGCTACCGAGAGTATCTCGCCTGCACGGCAGAGCCTGGCAAGCTACCCATGATGTATTCGATATGCCAAACACAGTAACAACAAAGTCTTCAATGGAGACCTTACTGGGCCCGCTCAAACAAATCGATGAACAACAGGAGGACAGTGACAGTGACAGTGATGGAGAACAAAATGTAGTATGTCATTGTGTAGATGTAAGTAAAGAAATACTTGACAAGGAGTCACAGACTGATATATGCTACAACACTGATGAACTTTGGAAAACATAATGCTAAGTGAAAAAGGGAAAAAAGAGACAGAGACAAAGGTTCAATGTATTTTGTGAATTGGTGTCTATAAAACACATAAATTTGACAATCCTAACCAACAGAGGTAGACTGGTGGTTGTCATGGGTCAGGCTGTGAGAAATGGGGTAACTTGTAATGATACAGATTTCCTGATCCTGAGAAATAGTACAGTGCTTTGCACACAGCAAGAAGGGGTTTGACCCTCGCTCCTCGAAAGGTCTCTCTCAAGCCCCACCAAGAGTGATTCCCTAAGCTTAGAGCCAGGAGAAAGCTGAACACACAACTGGGTGTGGCCCTCAAACAAAAACAAACAAAACTTCAACAGATTTCCTTTTGTGGTGAGGCATACATTAGGTTCTGAGAGGGGGGATGGGCATAGCTAAAAACATGGAGTTGAATCTTTTTTAAAATTTTTTTTTATTGAATCACTGTGAGATGGACCCTTACAAAGCTGATCATTATTGGATTTCAGTCACACAGTGTTCCAACACCCATCTCTTCACCAGTGTACATTTCCCAGCACCAGTGTCCCCAGATTCCCTCCCATCAACCTCCACCCCCTACCTGCCTCTATGACAGGTGCTTTTCTGCTCTCTCTCTCTCTCTCTCTCTCTTTCTCTCTTCCTCCCCCTCCTTTTGGGCATTGTGGTTCACAATATTGCTACTGAAAAGTTATCAAGAATATCTCTTACCTATGCTGGACATGGAGTTGAACCTTTTTAAGTGACTAGTATAGTCTACCCTGAAGAGGAGGGGACCAAACCCCAAAGGAGAGCAGGCAAAGGACAGCAACCCTCTGGAGAGGGGAGAGGCCTGTTTCAGCCTCAGGGTGATTCCGGGCCTCAACCAGACACCCCTCCCCTCCCCCCCCCCGCCCCCCCCCCCCGCCGAGAGCAAGACTGCCTGACACGAAGCGAGCATGGGGGCCGTGGGGGTAGGGATCTGTTCACATCGGGGCCATGGACGCTGGACTGGACTTGGGCGCTTAGGCCGGAGGGCAACAGCCAAGGCCGGGACACCGCCCCCAGGTGCACGCGAAAGCCGGTGCACAGGGCCCAGGAGGGCGGCTCTGGTGGTGGGAGGCTGGGGGGAAGTCCTCAAGACAGGCCACGAATACCCCACATGCACCTGGGGTCCCGTCCCGATCCTCACAGTGGGGAGCCACGGAGAGAGAGCTTCCCTCCCAGCCCCGAGCAGAGCTCCACACGCATGAAGGTACCGGCAGAGGAACAAAGGCATGCGGGTCCTGGGGCTGAGATCTCCAAGCCTGCTCCTGGAAGAGAACAGCGCAGAGTCTCCTGCTCCCGCGCCTGGCCATCCTCGCCGGGGACCCTTGGAGGGTGGCGGGTTGAGTTTCCCTCCCCGTCCCGAGCAGAGCTCCGGCAGCCGAAGACCTCCAGAACCAGCCACAATCATGCTGAGACCACTCTCCACACACATGAAGGTACGGGCAGAGGAACAAAGGCATGCGGGTCCCAGGGCTGAGATCTCCAAGCCTGCTCCGATTGGGGCTGAGCATCCTCCACCCAGATCCTCCACCTTCCAGTAGGCAGGGGTCACACCCACCAACTGCCCCCCCCTTCTCCCCCCCGCCCCCCCCCGGCGCCGTGTAATCCCATCAATGGCCAAGACCCAGAGACTATAAAATCCAGCTCCCAGAAGTGACATCTTATTATCTCATTCTTGCTTTGGACAATCTGGCAGGCTACCGAATGTAACCTGCCCACATGGCAGAGTCTGGCAAACTCCCCGTGGCATACCCAATATGCCAAATACCAGTAACAATGATGAGTCTCATTCTCCTAACCCTGAAAGAGCCTTGAATATGGCACTTTTTAAAATCTCAGGGCTAGGACTAAGGAGAGGTTACTGGTGAGTGCTCGAGGCAATCTACGAACAACATGATTGTGATCAGGATCGTGAGTATAGTCTATGGTTTTTAACTCAACAAGGCTTCACAAGAATTTCCCCCCCCCCCATACACACACCAGCTTTATTGAGATATCGTGATATACAACAGTAAAACTGATAATATTTTTTAGATGAGCCATACTGCTACATCATGCCCATCACAAAAAGAAAAAAAAATTAATGAACATTTCAGTACTAACCAAAATTAATGAATATTTTACTGTGCCCCTATTGTCTCTTGGATACTTCCAGAGCTCACTGGGCACTCACTGTACATATGCTTTATCATGTCTTTTATGGACGATCCCTTACTCTATAGGCCTCGAGTTACACATTGCTGGTTTTCTAGGTAAGCACAGAGCAGGTTTCATAAATGCTTCTAACAAATCCAGAAGCCTGTAAAAAGAAAAGAATATCTACACCAGTTTACTCTCAGTTCTCTGCCCTTCATCAAGACCCACCCTGCCCTCATCCAGTAAAACTTACTATCAATGTGAAGCAGCAATTTGATCTGAAGTAGAGTGTCACATACCAAAAGGGAAGGATTGTGCCATATTCCACTTATCTTTAATTTCACTTGGCATGATTTCCATGAATTAGTTTCATCAAAATCTATTGCTCTGCAAACAGTGCACTTACTTTCAACATTTCTCACAGCAAGTCAAAACCATTCCACTATAAGCATTTTAATTTTATTTCAAAAATATTTACCTTGTTTAATTTAATTAAGATTTAATTAAGGCACTTTGATTTACAATACTGTCAACAATAGGGTTCCATGTATACAACTTTTCTGTGTCTCACCCTGCTCAACCCACCAGCCTCCAGCTCCCAGTTTTCCACCACAGTAAGCTGGGAAACGGTCTACAGCATACAGCAGTGATCTTACCATTCTGTCTTTAAGCCCCCCAAAACGGACATGCTCTGGAAATGGCTGAAAAGTATAGGAGGTTTATTGTTTTGTTTACAGAGAGTGGAGTGGTGGTTGTTAGGGGGAGGGGTGTCAAAGTCCTTTAGTGACTTCTGGGATCTGCTGACACAAGGATTTTCTCAAAGTAGAACTTTAAACAGTTTTAATTTATCACCTATGGGAAACAGCTCATCAAATATTTCTATTGGTGACTTTAAAGACAGTCACTCCCCCCCCAAGCCCAGTGGTGAAGAAACAGTTTATCTGGCCCAGCTATGAAGGGGAAGCTGAGCCACAGAGGAAAGTGTGGACTCAGCATCAGCAAACGCTCAGTGTGACATAGCAAACAGTAACATCGCCTCCCTTGAAACCTTTCTCCAAAACTCATTTGGCTTCCTTTGTGGGGGGGACCACCTGCTCTGCCTTGATGGCTTTTGAAAGCCTCCTGAACCAAGTGGGAGTTTTGGGGAGATTCCAGATCTTTCAGATGGCTTTACTTGGTCTCAGCTGCCTCATAATATACCCTCATATTATCCTGGAGAACTTCACTGCGGCCGTCCCGGATCACCGCTGCCGTGTCCAGCTCCTTGACAATGCTACTCTCTCTATTAATGACACTGAGGTCTTCAGCCAAGATGACCTCCTCAAAATCTTCATCCCACAGGATTCCAACCTGATGCCAGAAAAGTGCCGACGTTTTGTCCACCCTCAGTGGCAGCTCCTTCACCTCAGTGAGAGACTCTCCAGCATGACGGAGCCAGACACAGAGCCTTGCATGGACGGCTGGGTGTATGACCAAAAAACCTATCCCTCCACCATTGTGACTAAGGTGAGAAACCCTTCTGAACTCTCGTGAGCTCAAGACTGAAGTCAATGAGCGTGCCTCCAAATGATGCCTTAAAATGCCTCTGAATGAGTGTCCTAACTTTTTGCACTGAGTAGACGCTTCATTCTTTTAGCACATACAATTAGTTATGAAGTGCCAGACATATGTTGAATAAGTTCATTATTATATAGCTTTGCATATGCCATCCTATGGCATATTATATGCTATTCTATGTCTTCTATTCTTAGCATGGGTTAAGCAGATTATTTCATAATTCTCAGCTTTGTTTACAAATTAGAAATAGCTGGGATATTGATGAAAACCTCCATACCCAGATTACCCAGCATGGTCATATAAGAAGGTAATAACCAGGCATGGGTGAAATTTTAAACATCTTTAAAGGATGTTTAAAGGATGTCTCTGACCAAACTGAAAATCATTTTATAGCAACTAACACGTGGTGTTAATTAACTAAAAGGTTTAGTGTCAGATTCCCCCCCACAAATAAAAAGGGTACATCTAGACTGATAGTTTAGTCATAAACAAAGGCCACTTAGTGGAAAAATTAAGTAAGGAAATATGAGGCATGTCAGTCATTTAAACCGTTTTAATCAGGGTTCCACGAAGGGGTTATAAATGGCTATGTTGCTCTCCTTTGCTTGTTTTCTTTTCCAGTGGGACCTGGTCTGTGAATCTCAGTCATTAAAATCAGTGAATAATTTCCTCTTTATGATTGGAATGCTGATAGGGGGTATCATACTTGGCTATTTAACGGACAGGTGAGTGTTTCTGGATAAGCCCTCTCTCTGTTTTGTTTTGTTCTGGGCTTTCTCCTTGCTCTGTAATCAGGAATCACTCCTGATCACCTCCAGGGATCATCTGGGGTGCCGAGGATAGAACCCAGGCTGACCATGTAGAGATCCTTTACTTTCATAAATTCTTTAACCGATCTTCCATTAAGAAACATTTATTGCAAATTAAACAGTCTTGAAGGGGCCTTGGTTTTCAAGGTGCTAGAAACACAGTAGAGGGTTATAGTAAATGAAGGTGGGGGAAACAGAGGGAATAATTAGGTTGGAAGTTATACAGGAATATCAGTGGAAGATCTGAAGCATATGGGGGTGGTTAAAGGAGGTAATAGAATACACCATAACTGTTGATTGACAAATGGGGTAATTGTTGGGCAGAAGAAAGATAAGAACAGAGGTGATATAGGGACAGAGTGACAGGTCCTGAGGACTTTGATGTCAGTGAGATGTAGTAACTTTGTACATCAATACCACAAATGTAAATAGTATTGTAACTCTGCTACCTACACTATAATAAGAAATTAAAAACAAATAAGTTAATAGAATAAAATTTCATTAAGAAGACCAGAGAGATGGCAAAGAAATATGCTACTTCTTTGTAATGTCAAAAGGCAATATTTGCAATCTTACAATGACACTGTAACAATTTTTATGTACTTGGAATTTTCAAAAAGAATGAGCAACTTTGTTTTCGATTGAAGTATTTTAATAGACTACATCTGGTCTTCCACTGTTAATATTGGCAAGAAAAGAGACAAGTCTTGCATGTGGCTACAACCTAGTTTGACCACTAGTACCACATGGTCCTCAAGCATCACCAGGTGCAATCTTGGAGCCCCTGAGCACTTCACAGACGGGGAGCAGAGGGTAGCCAGCATCACAGGGTATAAGCAGCATTGCATCCTAGTATTCTCTCAGCACCAGTCTGCTTGGCTGGATATTGCCAGCAGTGGTCCCGAGCTCACCTGAGCAGCACGTGAGAGCACCTCCCCCAAAGCTATTCACAGCATAAATAAATAAAAAACATGATGTTCACATAGTATATTTGCCTACTGCAGAGAGAATAAACCCTGTGCAGTATGATGTATGAATATCAAAATGACTTTGTTAAAGACAATAGAATGATTGCAAGCAAAACTATGCCACATAGAGAGAGATCAAAATCAGTCAATATATAGTATGGTGTTGACAGTCCGGTGATTCTTTGGATTTTAAATTGATATTTTATTGAATTTATAAAGTAAGCTGGGAAGGTTGTCATAATTTTTACTATAAATATGCTTGAACTCTCCCTTAATTTAGATTTTCTTTAATTTCCCTTTTCAATGTTGTCTAGTTTGAAAAAAAGTTGTGCATTTCCCACTAAATTTATCCTCTTTTTTTGGGTGGGTGAGTCACAGCTGACTGTGTTCAGGGCTTACACTTGGTTCTGTGCTCAGGGATCACTCCTAGCAGGGTGGTGCTAGGAATTGAATCCTGGCTGGTGACATGCAAAGCAAGAGCTCTACCAGCTGTTTTTCCAGCCCTAAATTTTTTTTTAAAGAATTGGTCCAGAGAGATAGTTCAGTGGGTAGAGCTCTTTCCTCTCATGTGGAACCCAGGTTTGATCCCTGGCCCACATATGATCCTACAAGTGTCACCAGGTTGTAGGACCTGGTTTCTGAGTACAGAATCTGGAGTAAGTCTTTTTTTAAAAAATTTTTATTAGTGAAACACCATGAGGTACAGTTGTAGACTTACAATTTTTTTGTGCTTGGGTTTCAGTTATACAATAATTGAGAACCCATCCCTCCACCCGTGCCCATTCTCCACCTCCAATGCTGCAGTATCCCTCCCACCCTCCCCATGCCCCCATCCCTCCCATCCCACCCCACCCCTGTGGAAGGGCATTACCTTTTGTTTTCTCTCTCCTTTTGGGTGCTGTGGTTTGCAAAAGAGGCATTGAGTGGCAATCATGTTTGGTCTATAGCCTACTTTCAGCATGCATCTCTTATCCTTGGAGGATCCTCCCAACACCCTTTATTTGATGTTCCCTTCTCTATCTGAGCTGCCTTTTCCCCTAGCATGTGCGTGGAGTAAGTCTTGAGCACTGCAAAATGTGGTCCCAAATGAAAGAAAAACAATAGCTAGACCTTTAGTAGAATCCTGATTTTAAGTGATGAGAGGTAATGGAGAGTGGTCTTAAGCATGTCTGTGGCTGGAAACGGAGGTCTTCAGCTGCCAGAGCTCTGCTCAGGGTGGATAGGGAAACTCAACCCACCCTCCTCCAAGGGGCCCCAGTGAGGACAGCCAGGTGCAGAGGCAGGAGACTCTGCGCTGTTCTCTTCCGGGAGCAGAGTTTTATAGTCCCTGGGTCTTGGCTGTTGATGGAATTACACAGCACTGAGGGCAGTTGGTGGGTGTAATGCCTACATACTGGAAGATGGGGGATCTGGGTGGAGGAGGCCCAGTCCCAGCTATAAAACCTAGTTCCCAGGAGAGAAGAGTGCAGAGTCTCCTGCCTCCGCGCCTGGCTGTCCTCACCAGGGCCCCTTGGAGGAAGGTGGGTTGAGTTTCCCTCCCCACCCCGAGCAGAACCCCAGCAACTGAAAACCTCCGGTTCCAGCCACAGCCATGCTTAAGACCACTCTCCACGTTCGGATGAGCCTCACAAATGAAGGAACCGGCAAAGGAACCCAGGTGTGCGGGACCCAGGGCAGAGATTTCCAAGTCTGCTCGGATTGGGACTGGGGCCTCCTCCACCCTGTAATACCATCAACGGCCAAGACCCAGAGACTATAAAACCAAGCTCCCAGAAGTGACATCTTATTATCTAGTTCTTACTCTAGAGAACCTGGAAGGCTACCAAAAGTATCCTGCCCACACGGCAGAGTCTGGCAAACTCCCCGTGGTGTATTCAATATGCAAAAAAACCAGTAACAATGATGGGTCTCATTCTCCTGACCCTGAAAGAGCCTCGAATGTGGCACTTTTTAAAATCTCAGGGCTAGGATGAAGGAGACATTACTGGCGCCTGCTCGAGGCAATCGATGAACAGCAGGATGACAGTGATACAGTGATACAGTGAGAGGTAATATTTTTATATTATTTCTAATCTTATATAGGATACATTTAATCCTAAATTATTGCATAAGATACTAGGTGTAACATTATGACAAGACAAATACCTATAAATGAGCCTAGAACGTTCTATTCTTTTTTTAGTTTTCTGTATGCTTTTCCTGTAAAAAGATTTTGACATGAAATTAACACTAATGAAGATATACAAAAGATCAGGTGAGGAGTATAAATAATAAGGCTTCTTTGAAGGTTGGGTAGAACTCAACAGTGAATCTATCTGACCAAGCCTTTCATTCTCGGAGAGATTTTTATTACTGTTTCAGTTGCATTACTTGTAACTTAGTTGTTTTGGCAATTCTGTTCTTGATGCTATATTTTATATTTATGAAACATGAAACACTAATAATCAGAAAATATGTTTGCATACCTATTTTCATTATAGTCCTTCGGGATATGAAAACAATCCAAAGGTCCTATGACAGAAGAATGAAAAAAGTAAGTTGTGTATAGAAGGTATATACAAATTGTATATGGAAGGTATACCTATATAGACAATGTATAGACACAAAGGAATATTATGCAGTCACAAGAAATAATGAAATTATGCAATTCATTGCAACTTGGATAGAACTGGAGGGAATCTTTCTGTGTGAAATAGCCAGAGGGAGAAGGACAAACACAAGTTGGTCTCACTCACCTCTGTTGTTTAGGGAAACCAAACAGGGATATAGACAGTAGCAATTATTAACAAGCCCTGGGTACTACAATACAAAATGAGGGCGCCAGATTAGGCAGGGGAGTAGTTGGACAGGAAGTGAACAAACAATAGGGTGAGGGCACTATGAGCACTTTGATGGTGGTGAGGGTAGATAACTGTATACCAAGACCACAAGTATCAATGCTACTGCAAAAACAAGACAATGAGACATTATTCACCGTTATAAAAAATATTAGTCATTAAATGCCACGGAGGAAATTCAAATGCATGTTACTAAGACAGAAATCATTCATACTGTATGATACCATTTAGATGTAATTCTGAACTATGTAGTCAGAACTATTAAAACAGTGAAATAAAATTAGTGATTAGTGGGGGAGATAGACACGAGTACGTGTAGCACAGTGAAGTTTGAAGGCAGTGAAACCTTTTTTTTATGATATATAAAGTTGAATACTTGTCTTATACATTTATGAAGACCATAGGAGAAAGGTGCAGAATCAATAGTGTAGTCTAAACAAACTCTATGCATTTTTGGATAACAAATCAGCAGTGTAGGTTTGATTGTAACAGATGAACCACTCGGTGCAGGATATTAATAGGAAGGAGGTATATGAGTGGAGTAAAGGAATTAATGAAAAATTTCTATGGTTTTAAAAAGGTCAGTGTTGATGTCCACCTAGAAATGCATGTATGTGTGCATATGTGTGTATGTGTGTGTGTATGTTTGTGTGTTTTGTGTGTGTGTTGGGGGGATGCTGGGGATGAAAGTAGGCCCACACAAGCAAGACAAGCATTCTACTGTGACTACATTTGTTTCTACTTCCTCCCCAATTGCTCTTAAGTCTATTTTTTTAAAAAAAGCCACAAAAATAAAAAAAAAACCAAAATAACATGAGACACAGACTGTTTATGGGTTGCAAAGCCTAATATAATATTTGTGTCCTTTAAGAAAGTATTTTCTGACACCTTGTGTAATACCACTCTAGGCTCCATATTCACTTCCTTCAATCAATCTTTTCCTGTTCTTTATTTTTTTTTCTTTTTGGGCCACACCCGGTGATGCACAGGGGTTACTCCTGGCTCTGAACTCAGGAATTACCCCTGGCGGTGCTCAGGGGACCATATGGGTTGCTGGGAATCGAACCTGGTTCTGCTGCATGCAAGGAAAACACCCTACCCGATATGCTAT